TACTGGCTTCGACCGAATCCAGGATGTCGCGCTCGCGCTCGTAACAATATTATCAAAAGTGGTAAAGATTTTAGCCATTATTTCGAAAAATTTCATTGTTCGATCATTAAAATCATATTGTCGACGGAAGAAGAATTTAGCTAAATAGTCTACATAATGTATTTGGCGAGTTCCATACTTCGAAATATTCGAACCTTTGACTGCAATGCGTTTAATAACGATACCAATGCAGAACTAGATTTAGCTTGACACATTATACATTATTTGTCGTCGGTTGTCATGCCGATTAATACAAACAAGAGAAAAAATCGACGATCGTGGACTGACGCATACAGAGTCACAGACATGTGCATATAGACAGAATTCATTGTAGTTGTTCAGGAATTAAACAGGTTGACCCCGTGTACCACGGGCACTAACTCGAAATGGCCCGCCCCTGGTCAGACGCGGCCCACGCCCGGCTAGGTACGGGCCTGAATTATTTCACCATGCGTGATTAATACGCACGCGCGCTTGCGCGCGCCGCGGTACGCGACGTCACAACGTCGATCCAATCATCGATTGGATCGATGTCAAACCCCGCTTTTTTTGAGACTCGGCGATCATATAAATACCGGCGTACGACCGGTAAAACGCTCTCGCTGTTCGCTTATCATTGAAATTGACTAAAAAGATATACATTGTGATCCGTTTCGCCAGTCTTAATCGTCGCCGAGTCTTTTCCAGGGCCACGTGTAAAAACTTAAGGGTTCGTCACTAGATTTCGCTATTCTGACTATCGCCGATTCTTTCCCGTGACAAGTGAAAATTAAATAATTCGTGTACTCTACTTCGCCACTTCACTGTGTCACCCGTTCCACAACGTAGTCGGTTACAAGGCGAAACCATCACTCCGCACCTTGAAAAAGGGTAAAACTTGCGCCCCGTGGCATTCCTGTTCCAATATCCAATAACGCCACGAAACAGTAGTAGTAGCAATATTTTGAAGAAATATCTCGAAAACTTAGGCCGAGCGGCGGTTATATGTATAGGAAACAGTTATTCAAAATCTTGATTTCTACAACATATTCAAAAATCATCGAAATCGGTGAGACCCCACCTTTTCTAAATAGTTACCAAATATTATATCAAACGTTTTGTATCCTTTAGAAACAAAACGTATTTCTAGTGTTTTACGAGACACTAAATTTTCTATTTATATTGACGAAACATCCGACTTGACCAACGAGAAATGGATGACGTTTCTTGTTCGTTATGTTGCACCCGAAACTCTGGATGCTCGAACGGAATTGGTAGAATTATTACATCTTAATGCCACAAATTGTGGCGCCGATAATTTATTTAAAACATTTGAGATTGCGATGATTGAAAGAGAAATTCCGTTCGAAAATATTGTCGCTTTGTCATGTGACAACGCTGCTGTCATGACAAGGCGACACTCGTCCTTTATGACAAACCTTGAAACAAAATGCAGGGGCAAATTTTTGACTGTCCGTTGTCCGTGTCATCTGTCAGCAATAGTAGTGCGCTAAGCGTGCAATACCATTCCAGACATATGCGAGGAGTTGTTACGAAAAGTAGCAACTTTCATATACAGTAGTCCCAAACGTTCGGCTATATTCCGCGAATTTCAACAATGTTTTCCAACAATCGAGAGGAAAATTTTAAAATTGTGTTCTACGCGATGGTTATCACATTATACATCCGTAGTTACACTTTTAGAGAATTGGGACTCTGTATTGCTTTTTTTTTTTGCAAGAATTGACAATAAACGAGAAATCAGAGTCCGGGGAACATCTGTTAATCTCGATGCAAAATCCAGAGGCCAAAGCATATCTTTATTTTCTAAATTACGCTCTTGAGTTTTTTTTATAAATCTAGCATTTTCTTTCAAACTCAAGAGACAAGAATTCATTTGCTTCAAAAGACTGCGGCAGAACTTGTATGCGATATATTATGCAATTTTCTATAACCGCAGCTTTTGAAACACATGAGTTTAGTAAGAATGATAAATTTTTCTATAACTGATAATAAACTCGCGTTTAATAGTATAAATTTAGGAACAAAGTGCCTTAATTTTCTGCATCAATTGAATGCAGAAGGCAAGTCCGACATCGTAGAAACCGTAAGAAAAAATTGTTTAATGTTTTATATTACAGCTGCAAATTGCCAATCGATGACGAATTTCTTAGAAAGTTGTATGTTTTTGAACCCACTTTTATATTAAATGATACAAATAGAGACATTTCCTTCAGAAATGTTCTCTTAATCGCTAAGAAATTCGGCGGTTTCGACGAAGAAGGACTGCAAACAGAATGGTCAGTATTGCCTTTGGAATTTACAACGAAAGGTAGACAGACGCTTATCGAGATGAAATTCGATGGTTTGTGGAAAACAATTTTATTAACGCGAAATTTGGACTATAAAAATAAATTTCCTGAATTGATGAAATTAGTAAATATAATTAGATCACTTCCAAATTCCAATGCCGATGCAGAAAGATTGTTTTCCATGTTACCTGACATAAAAACAAAGAAACGGAATAAACTTTCTACGGCCAGCGTCAACTCTATTTGCGTTGTGAAATCTTCGTTACAGGCGCAGAGGGAAAACTCTCAACCCATGGAGGTAGATGACGATCATCTAGCTCTATTGTATTCCAAAAATGTATATCATAGATTTGCTAAGAAGCAAAAGTGTAATTTAAGATTAAACGCAACATATGACAATAACTTTGAGAATTTTCCCGCTACGTCATATGACGAAAATTAAGGTACCGATTTACTACAGAGCTTTTCTCTAGAGAGATTTTTCTCTCCAGAGAAAAACTCTTTAATAAATTCGTACTATTAGGCTGTAATTACAGTGTAAACGTTTTCATACGACGTCGCGGTAGACGGGCCTTGTTACGTCAACGGTACCGCGACATAGGAGCAACAAGGTGTGATGCATGCATGTGCCATAACGTCGCGCGAAAGTGCTTACACTGCAACCGCAGTCTTGTTAGTGATGTTTAAAATATCGCTAATATGTAAATAGTCGTTCAATTTGTCTCGCGTTGTTACTTTTTTTATGTATTTCGCTTGCTGTAAATACTATTCTGCTCGCTCTAACCATCATTTTGCTTCTTCATTTATTTGCTTATATTTTGCTGTACATTTGTACTTAGTGAAATTGCTTGCTATAGATAGTGTTGCTATGACGTAGAATGTCGCGCCTTGTTGCACCTACGTCGCGGTTCCGTAAGAGCAACAATGCACGACATAACGTGCCAGCTTAATCGCAAACGTCCTACCCTGACATCCCATCCTTTGGAAATGTAAACAATTATATCATTTTTCCATTTTTATGGCACGTGTGTATATTAATCAAAATTCACGTATTCACAAGTTAGTTTTTCATTATATTGTAATTTCATTACATTAATTAGAACATTTTAATATACGGCATCTGATAATGTTACAAAGAAATAACGATTTTTTACATTTTCCTCCTGATAGAAGTGACCACCACCTTCCCGCGGTTTCCATTGAGCGGTAGCGTGCACGTTATTGTTTTACTTATCGTTACAATTATTTTGTTATGTGAAGTTAAGTCAAATACATAACATTTGATTCTGTGTAACAATTTGATACGGTTATTGAAAAACATAGTGGGAAAAGTCAGTAGTAATCTATTTCTGTAACAATTAATTCTTCTATTTAGACCATATCGTTACAAAATATTTGTTACTGAACATTGTTACAGTGTGCACGGTACTGGCTAAGAGTGGTCTTTCATTTTAATTAACACTTAATTAACCCTTTACGAGTAAGACTGCTTTGAACAACATTATTCTAAAATATTTGTGGAATACGTTTTTAATGTGCTTTAGGTAGGTATACAATGCATAAGATTTCGTTTAATTTTTCCTTGCCAGAAAAGATAGGAGAAAAGTTTATTTGATCTTAATCCTTCCTAAGATTTATATAAATTGCTTTAAAAATTTTTCACAAGTAATGTATATATATCGAAATAATTATAAAACTATAAGACGTATAATCATCATTATATGGGAGCCGATCACGCCCAAAATCTAATCAGACCTTGAAACGAGAATATAAAACTTTAATGTAAAGTTTCATTGAAATTCATTTAACCGTTTAACGCAATCATGTTAATAGCATAAGAACAAAAAGAAACGCCTCTTTTTTTTAATAATCACAATATAATGAGGGGGTCCTAAAACGTGTATTTCCGCTAAAAAAAATTTTCGAAATTTTTTTTTCATTATAAATGATACTTTCCTTATACCTTACATAGGTCAGAAAGTAAAAATGGGGTAGTCGAGTTGGAATTGTATGCCGATTATCGCGAAGTCGTATTTCAACTGTTTCTCTTTTACAAGACTAAGAAGGAAAGACTCACTCTAGTGTTCTTTATCGTTTTCCCAAAATTGTGCGAAGTACCGAGCTCACGTACAGGTGGCTCATGCGGTAGTATATGCCTGCTATCGCTACCACTCCGTTAGACGTTAAGGAAGTTCGTCGTCACTATTGTCTATTTCGATGTACTCAATTATGCCCGATCTGGCCACATTGGTCGTCACTGGAAATTATTTTTGTAACATCGTATCGCATCGGGTTAGGAAAACCAACTAAAAAAATATTGGTTAATAAGAATTTTCTCTTTCAATATTAATGTTAAGTAACGTAATAATTGTAAGTAGTGATTATTTTTTCAAAAATAAATTTTTAAGAAGCTATTCAAAAATATACATTTTTTGTACATAATTCGAAGCAATCAAAAAATTCTTAAAGATAATGCTTTCCCTTTTAAAAATATCTGCATATCCCACCATCTTTCAATCGTTTCTAAGCCTAAATCTTAAAATCCTCAATATGTACTAACTACCCTTAAGGGTACTGTTCACTTGCTTATCTGCCTATATCTTTTAAATGAAACACTTCATGCGTATTTTGTGCCACATCTTATATTTTGATGTCTCTCTTTACTTGCAGATCAGATTGTTAACTTCCACATACGAGCCTCTATTGGAGAATATACCGTTGGTAATAAAAGAATGTGCACAAAATGAACAATGCATGGACATCATTAATGATCCTGACCATATTCTGGACGGCGTCCGATTAACTTGGTCATTACTGAAACATCCTAGCGTAAAAATCAAGAGAAATGCTTGCCTCGCCTTGGTCCCTTGCATCAAATATGCCAAAGATTCACCAGAAATGGTACGAGCATTTGTGGGTGGATTGGAGCTCACGGTCAGCCTTCTTCACAGCACAGACACCGAAGTGCTCAGCGCAGTTTGTGCGACTATCGCCGAAATTGCTACAGATCCCGAGAACCTGGGTATTCTCAGTGACCATGGTGTAGTGGAGAAATTAGCGAAGCTTGTGACAACGGTAATTTCTGTACTTTTTATTCTAGATACCTGGCTTAGTTCATACACAATTACGTGGAATTAGAAATCGAAGTACCTCTCGGTCGATAGATATTCTTCTAGAAGGCTCCGCTGTCCGATCACCATGAAAGACAAAGAAAGAGTGGGAGAGATACGGATCTCAAATATATAGTTTTAATTTCGAATATGTAATAGTTTGCAAGATTTTCGCAAATAATTTTGCTCTACACAACTGAATTCTGCTTATACATATACGTCTTGCAGGGCACACGACCGTTTTCTCTGTAGTAGTGTCATCGTTGACTGCTGAATAACTGATGATGCATAGCGATATTGTAGGATGTAGTTTGCTGCGGGATTAATGCACGCGACGAACCTTGTACACAGAACTTTATTGAATACCAAAAGACGGATACTACACGAAAACACTCCGCACACCTCAATCGCTCCAATCGTTCTCCCCGGTCACTCCTTACCTAACACTCTCCTACCCGCACACACACACACGCCCGATTGACAAAAACCACACGCATTCTGCATTCGTCAATTCATAACCCAATCGATCGATTCGTTTCCAGGCTCGCACAGCTGACTCCGGTCACTCGCCTCACGCACTCACACAACAACGCACTCGCACACTCACATCCCACACTCGGCCGTCCTGAATATGACAGCTGCCCTCAGGTGTCGTCGATCGATTCATTCAAGCCTTCAAATTCCTCGTCGTCTTCATTTCCGCTATCATCAATGACCCACGACTTCATGTGGTCGGCCGACGTTGAAGTCTGCAGCGGACCTTCATGATCGCCAACCCTTCTCACCAGATAACGATCATTCCTCAACTCTTTGGTGACTTCGAACGGTCCGAGGAACTTTGCCGTAAACTTTGCCCCAGGGTGGGACTGCGTCCTCTGTATGGCCACCAACTCTCCTTGTCTGTAGCGCTGTGCTTTCTTCCTCTTTTTATCGAAGCCTCTTCTGTTTTCCTGCTGAATCTGCGATATCTTCTGTCTCGCCTTCTCCCGTAATTCGTCGCGATCTTCCTGAAACACAGCGGTTACCTCCTCCTCCAGCATTTCGCGTATCGCTGGATCTTCTCGTAATTTCATGTCCGTGCCAAACAGTATTTTAAACGGTGTCACTCCCGTACTCCGATGCGGCACCGAATTTATATATTTTTGCGCTGTATCTAAATGTTTAAACCATTCCTTTGGCTTCACGGCGGATAATTTTGTTATCAGTGGGATAAGGGTCCGATTGACACTCTCCACTTGCCCATTCCCTCGTGGTACACCAGTCGCTATTTTCACATGCTGAATATTTTCCCGCTCGCAATACCGCTTAAAATCTTGAGACGTAAACGCGGTCCCTCTGTCCGATATTATTCTCCTTGGGTTTCCGAATATCGCCGCCTGATTTTCCAACCGTTTCACGACATCGGCCGTATCCGTTGACCTCGTCGCGTACAACCAAACGAACTTACTGAATGCATCCGTTACGACGAATATATACCTGTAATTCTTCCGTGTCGACGGCACTGGACCCAAGTGATCTATGTGGTACGTTAGTAGCGGTGCGTCCCCCTTATCTATCGGATGTAGCAGACCCTCTTGTTTGCCTTGTTTTTTATTCGCTAGGATACACGGCACGCAATTTCTCACCACTTTCTCTACCCTTGACCTCATGTTGGGAAACCAATATTCCCTCTGCACGAGGAGTAATGTCTTCCCAACTGAGAAGTGCCCCCTCTCGTGACCCTGCCTGACTATCTGTGACTGCATACTCGCAGGCACTACCAACCGAATTTCGTCATCCACCTCCTTAAACAAGATCCCGTTCCTCACGACGTAGCCATCCAGATTCCCCTCCTTGAACGCCTCCAATATCTTCAGTAGAAGAGCATCCTCATGCTGCGCTCGCCTAAGCCGAGCCATCAGCCCCTCTTCTTCGCGACCCGCCACCAGACAATTAGGCAACGGTTGCCGACTGAGCGCGTCAACATGCGGCATGCTTTTCCCCGATCTGTGTTTTATTACATACTGGAACTCCTCCAGGAGAAGTGCCCACCTTGCCACCCTCACGCATAAGTCTTTTTTCCTGAGGGTTAACGCAAACGCCCTACAGTCTGTCACAATTTTAAACGGCACACCTAACAAGTAGACTCGGAATTTCTTTACCGCTTTCACTATGGCTAACGCTTCCAGCTCATAGCTTGAATACTTCGCTTCCGCTTCGCTCGTCTTCCCACTCGCATAATATATGGGATGCAGAGCGCCGTTCCCCGCATCGCGTTGCAAAAGAACCGCCCCGTAACCGGCACTCGATGCATCGGTATGCAATTCGGTGTCTGCTCCCACCCGGTACAATCGCAGCACCGGCTTCTCACACAACGACATTTTTAATTGTTTAAACGCGCACTCCTCCCTATCCCCGAACACAAATTCGCGATTCGCTTTCGTCAAGTCCGTCAACGGTCGTGCTATAACCGAATAGTTGCGGATAAACTTCCGGAAGTATCCCGCCAGGCCTAAGAAACTTAGGAGGTTTTTAATATTTCGTGGCCTATCAAAATTAATTACCGCCAGGGTTTTCTTCTCCGACGGTCGCACGCTTCCATTCTCAACAATGTGCCCTAAAAATTCGACCCGTCTCTGTAGAAAAGCGCACTTCTTCCAATTAATTACCAGACCATACTGAGCCGCTGTTTTCAATACCGATTCCAGACTTTCCAACGCACTCTCGAACCCGTCCGAAGGTATAATAAGGTCATCCATATAGGACAGAACTACCCCTTTCGCGATCAACTCTTTGAACACGGCGTTTATGAACCTTTGGAAAACTGCAGGCGCATTACACAACCCGAACGGAACTTTTAAAAATTCAAACTGCCCATCGGGAATCACGAAAGCCGTGTATTTCCGACTGCCCTTGCTAAGGGAAACGTGGAAGAAACCATTTTTTAAATCGAGAGTGCTGAAAACCCGTGCACCCTGCAGGCGATCCAGTTGGTCCTCGATTAGGGGAAGGGGGTAGCGGTCTTTAATTATCTTCGCATTCAATAATCTATAATCTACACATAGTCTTTTCGCACCGTCTTTCTTATTCACTAAAACAACTGGACTCGCGTAGTCCGACAGAGACGGCTGTACAATACCGTCGCGCAGCCATTCTTCCACCTGTTTCTGCACCTCCTCTTTCCCCTTTGGCGACAAACGCCTCGCACGCTGATAGACCGGTTCGTCGTCCTTTAACACGATGCTCATTTCGACACTCACTTCACGAGTTTTTGACGGCCTGTACGCCGCTATTAAATGCCCCACCGCAGCTCGATATTGTTCGTTCCGAATATCCGATAAATCGACGCTGTTCGATTCGTAAACACAGTCTATGCTCAGAATTCCGCGCTACGCATGGTCACATCGCGATACAGGTTTTTTTATCGAACTTTCCCATCCCTAATCGTAATTTCCGTCTCGCTTAGAAAGTCGGTTCCGACAATTAAATCGTGCGTTGTCAGACTATCCGGAATGACGTTGACCTTTATTCCGAATACGTCGCTATCGATCGCGATGCTCGTCTCGAATTCGCCAAAAGTTTTATGATTGACCGACCCTACCCCGCGGAAAATAATTTCTTTTCGAGTCAATTCCGGCATACCAATCTCGACATACTTACTCGCACGCATCAAGCTTATGTCGCTACCGGTATCTATCAAGGCTTTAACATTATGCCCGTTAACTCGCGCGTCTTTGCAATACTTGCCCTTCTCGCTGTCTCCGCTAACACCGCAACTGTCCCTAACTGCTGGTTTTTTGGTCGGACAATACGCCGATATGTGCCCGAACTCGCGACACTGGAAGCACTTCTTCCCCTTATCCTTCGTCGGGCAGTCCACCGACGCATGGTCCTTCCCTCCACAGCTACGACACCTCCTTACCGACTCGCTGGGCTGCACGCGTACCTCCTGCTTCACCGGATCTTCTCTCCTCGGCGCAGGGCTTTTCCATACATGCGATTTTCCAGCCGCATCTAATCGCACCCTCTCGAATGCCGCGAGCAACAGCGATTTATCCCCAAACCGTTGGATGCGGGCCTGGTTCTGCAAGGTCACATCCGGAATGCCCTCAACCAGTTGTTCAACTAGCTCGTCTTCCTCTATAGGAACGCGGTTCGCTAATATCATTTTGTCGTGGAAGTATTCTCCAAAGGATTCCCCTTTCCTCCAGACACGCTGCTCAAATTGCTTTCTCCTCGCTGTCCTACTTGGTCTATGGTGGTACATCGATCGCATTTCTTCCAAAAGTTGCCCGATTGACACCCACACGAATTCCGGCTTTGAGTGGAACCAATCAAGGGCTTTCCCACGCAATCGCGAACCTATCAAAATTCGGCATTCCGACTCGGCCAGATCGTACGACGTTTGGAGCATCGTCAACTGTTTCTCCCATCTCTCGAATTGATTCCCGTCGCCATCAAAATAATTGAGGAGATCGGCAATTGCCGTGATGCTCATTTTCCCCCGAGGACTCCTATGTCCCGACTCCACCGATGCCGTTGCCCCCACAGATTGCATCCCTCGCAGCATCTCCATTTCGCGACGCTGCAGCTCTAGCTCGTGCTTCATGAGCTCATTCTCCCGCCGCAAGAGCTGCATCTCCCGTTCGCTGCTACCCACCTCTACCGGCTCGCGGGAAATGCCAGGGCTTTCGTCCGTCCTCGATGCTCCCGGTTCGGTCGCATCCTCCGATGCGAACGATCCGCTCGGATCCGCCGCCAACAACCTCTGCACCAACTCGGTCTTCACGCCAGATGAGGACAAACCCAACTTCCTCAGTTCCTCCTTGAGCCGCACCACGGACAGGTCTTGGAGCTTCTCCATACTCGAAATAACACCACTATCGCTTATCACAAAACACAAACACGACTCACTTCCGTCACGAACACTTTTCCCCGCAATAAATCCCGGACGAGCCCCCAAATTTGTAGGATGTAGTTTGCTGC